CACTGTATCCAACTCCTTAGAATGTTGGTTTTCCAATCTTGAGCTTTACTTAATCTACAAATATTTGTTAAACAGTGTATTGAAGCCACAACAAAACACCTTCATTTTGACTGAAAGCATTTACATCAGTACATGTGGGTAAAGAGAGACCTCACACTCCCATCACTCTGAAAACACCATGGAGGCCCCACAGTCTGATCTGATGCAACAATCATTCATAATCATGCGATAAATTTTATCCTGCTCACACAATGTGATACTGGAACAGTTTCAGGACTTCCCATGCAGACATGTGCCTGGATCCTGAGGATGGGTCCAGGCTCTCATCTGATTTTGTGTTTCAGAGATCCTGAAATCAGGTCCTCATAATTTTTAGCAACTCCAGGCACAGGCCTGCCTGACAATATAAACATGAAGGCTGGGTGCAATTGCAATCAGGAAACTTGAACCCACCTAACATTTTCAACCCAATATTGGTCAAGGTTGCACCTGATATTTTGTGGGATATCAGGAATCTGCTCACAGGAATCATAATTTATGTTGTATACATATCCTTTAAGTGCAAAATAAATGGGTGGGCAGGCAGAGTGGAGCTGGTTTGGATGTGATGGCCGCCTCACTTTAGAAGACACAGGCGGTGCGTGGGCCAAGGCCCGTTGACCGCGTGGTGTGTGGCGGCTGACTGGCGCGTGTCATGCCGCGTATGACGGTCGCGCGTCACGGTGCGTGCGAGCGGCGCGTGTTACACCGTGTGTGACTGTTAAGTGTCACACTGCATGTGACTGGCGCGTGACACGCCACGTGTGACCATCGCGTATCACGACACGTGTGACCAGCGCGTGTCACGCCGCGTCTTGCCGTAACCCTTTGTCTGTGCGCCAGCTTTGCCGCCTCAAAGACGCAATGCTTGTGTACGCTTTGGCTAAATCAGACGATTTGTTACCACGTTGGTATGCCCAAAGCCCAATTACTACTGCTACTACCAATTTGGTACACTTAATGGTGCATAATCCCGAGTTGTATACAACACTTATTTGTGCCAAGAACAAAGAATGTAGTGGAGAAAATAATGCGTATTGTGTCTTTTCGCGCGTAGCTCGCGGCAACCGCAGCATAAATACTCGGGAGTGATCATTCACGCGTATACTTTAGAAAACGTCGGGCGAATTTAGTCCAGAAAGGCGTCACAGGTGGCTTACGTGCTCACGTGCCTGCACCTGGAGTGAATCAAAGCGTGTACGGAGAGAAAAGGAGCGTGCAGATCTTTGCCTCACACAGATCTCACACGTGAAACAAGCGCTAATTGCCATGTGCGCTTTTCTGCCCGAGTGCCTCGTTGATCGTACCAGAAAAGGTGCACAATAATGACGTCAGCGCACGCTTTGTAGGTGGTTTTTGTGGATGGTTTAAACAAGCTGAGAGGAGTTTGTATGGATCATTTTAATTGGGTGTAGAGCTTTACAGTGAGAGTGGAACGGAAAGTAAACATCGGCGTTCACTTCCACGTTGTTCGCATGTCTTTTTTCTTCACGCTTCTCGACTCTTTTTCATTTTATTCATTGTAATTTTGTTGCACGCTCGCTGAATTCCTGCTGCAGTTAATGATCGTGTTGCTTTAAATACAAACAGTACTTGGTAAGGTCCTCCGGATAGCGACTTGAAGACGGCAATGTGTACCGCACGTGCACCTTTGGGACTTGGAAAGTTTTATGTGGTGACGATCAGACTTCCTGTCTGAGGATATGTCTACCAAATTTGGGGTCCCAGGTCATGCTCAGAAGGTCATGACCTCCTTGCGTGGGGAACCCCAAGTCAAGCTTGGTCACATGCATGCGGGTCACATCGTGGCATTGATTGCCTCAATATTGGTGTGCCTTCGTGTTAGAGAAGAAATTCGTTAAATCGAAGAAATTCGTTAAATGGCAACTTCCGCGGTAGAGGGGGTGCACCTCAGCGTCAGCGTCCCGTACACTGTGGTTGAAACTATCGAGTCACAAAACTGCCACTCATCGACTGACAAGTATTCTACGGCACTCCGCTGCCAAATGTCACCGCCCTGAGCGCCGCCGCCGTTGGGAGAGCAGCTGTGGGTCGGCGACAATGGTGCAGGAGTGTTCTACGGCACTCCGCTGCCAAATGTCACCGCCCTGGGCACCGCCGCCGTTGGGAGAGCAGCTGTGGGTCGGCGACAATGGTGCAGGAGTGTTCTACGGCACTCCGCTGCCAAATGTCACCGCCCTGGGCACCGCCGCCGTTGGGAGAGCAGCTGTGGGTCGGCGACAATGGTGCAGGAGTGCTGATGTTTGGTCTCGCCCTACGTGCGAGATACAAACTCATTTGATGGTCCAGGGGCGGCGGCTGGGGGAAGGGGGGGGGGGGGTAAAAACCGCGGCTTCATTTAAGCAGTGGGGCCCAGATCATTAACGGTCTCGTTTCTGCGTAGATGGTGCAGAGGTGGGTTGGATGTAGATCAGAAGGGCTCCCCGCGCGAAATTGGATGTCTTCTTGACTCGCGAGGATTTTGTTCGCCATGTGATACGTGAGGAGTAGTCTGTCTTCAGCCCTTCGGCCAAGGTAGCTCATGGTTATGGAGACTTCTACGTGCTTCGTGATGGATTTTGAGTGGAGGGAAGACTTTGTCATGGGGCTTCCTGGGCGAGATTGGGCCTCTTAGACAAGATCGGGCCTTCTAGACAAGATGGAGCCTCGTGGACGAGATGGGACCTCCCAGACGAGATGGGACCTCCCAGTCGAGATGGGACCTCCTCGGGTGTTGAGGAGAGTTTCCTGGGCGTGACTTTCCAAAGGGCTTCCCAAGATCCGATGAGAAGAGGGCAATTGAACTCCCATTGCAACATGCTCTATCCAAGCTGTATCCAGTGTACTTTCCTAGTTTGGAGAAATTGAAGCTCGCCTTTCTTACAGTACTTTTGGGTCTGGGGTGGCAGAGAAAAGCTGGTTTTGTCGGTTGATGAGAGAATGTTAGTATATCACAATCAATTCAAACGAATGATATCTACGGACGTTTTTTGGTGTTGGCTTGGTGGCCTGACATTTTTATTGGACAGTATTAGGGCGTGAAAATTTCAGCTTTTTAACGTGGTTTGGTTTGTTATTCGTTGCGGAACAGTCTGGCTTTTAAAAGCCATTGGCAAGTATTGATCCATCATCAGTGGCGTAGCGTTAATTGTGTTTTGTAGGACGGCTTCTCGGTTACCATGGTTCGGAGGTGTCACTTCTAAAATCATTTGGGGAGGGAAGAGGGGCTTAGCCGAAAAGATTGACCTAACCTACCCCTAAAACATGATTTTTCTCGGGATTTCGGCCACCTAAGTTTGTCACCTCGATGTTTGAACAAAAAACAACTTTCCTAATATTTCGTAGATTAAAAATTTTTCTCCCGTGAAGAAATGACTAACCATTCGAGTTAATGTGCGCTGTCTTTTTGGGAAAACTTAGAATGGGGTGTAATTTACAGGAAAATATCTTTGCAATCTTTAGTAAGGGATCACCCATAACGACTGCTGTCGCTGATGGGGATGTATAATCACCACAGCCACGGGCATGCGGCAAATACACTTGCTACTGTTGGGGGAAAGCATGTGTTCAGTCGTATCTGGGCCATCGTGGACTTTGAAAGCCGCCACATATTGCAGTCAGTTGTTTTTTCCGAATCCAGGCGTTATCATTTTAGAAAACTTGTCAGACATTTGCAGGCTGGCTTAGCCTATGAAAGAGTTAGTATGACCCGTTTAAGGGTCTTGGGAATGACAAGTACATTGGGTGCCTTCAGTATATCATTTGCTACAGAATTAATATGGTACTAACAGTGATGTATTTAGGGTACCGAGTGCCTAGTACACACATTCGCCCATTGGTAATATAATTGTTTTGCGTTTACTTGGCCCGGTATCCCCTATTCATTCGTTTGCATTGAGAGTGGCTCGGAGGAGCATCGGGAGGGGGGGGGGGGGTAAGGCTGGAGTCAGCATTGCGGGGCTCAGCGGCCTCCCCCCGAAAGTTTATGAAATGACGCCCTGCCTAGTTACTTAGAATTTAACTCGTCAATATAGCGGCTTCTTGATCCAAAAAGTTGACCTCCTGATGCAGGAAAGAGCTTCCTGAAACAAACCAAGGATCTCCTAGCTCAGCTCAGAGCGTACGCACATCGTCGCCTCCGGGCGCACGCACCAACTTGATGGCATGCATTTATTGTGTGTGATAAAGGTCGTGTTCCTTAAAATGTACATGTCTTAATATTGCAAGTCCTAAATTACACACAGGTACGTAAAAGTAAGGATATGGGGAACACGCAACAAACAGTGCGCGTCTGCTGTGCTAGCCTAAAACGCTAAATTCGGTTTTCAGTGAAACTTTTTGAGCCGGGCACCCAGTTATAAAATGCTGCGTACGCCTCTGGCTCAACTATGGGGCCTCTGAATTTGAATAAAATATGTAAATCTACAAAACCTCAGCTTGGGTAAAAGTGTACTAAAAAAATGCAGGTGACAGATGCATGTTCTGGCCTTCTGCCTACCAGCAGAGGCAACCTACCCCATCCTCCTCCGGCTGTGTCGCCCCGGGCCTTGTCGACAAAACGGCCCCTTTTGGTGTAAATTTGCTGTGGTCCGAGGATCCAAGTACATGGGACAAACAGGCCTCGCGGCCGGGAGGAGGGTGGCGAGAGACCCGGATTTTGTCCAGGAGCCCATGAAGGCTCGATCTCGATCGATCTCTCGATTCTCCACGATCCCGGAACAGACCTCATTCTTGAGCAGCTTTTTGACGAAGCGACGTTTTGCTTAGCTGGCTGCGTTTGGCTTCCATCCTCTAGACTTGCGTTCCCTTACCTGCTTTTCATTTTGACTTTTGCCTTGGTCTTTATCCTTCTGCATTGTTGCTTATTCGGCATATTTTAAAGATTATTCAGACAGAGGGGGAGACAGAGCCAGAGGTCTCTGCTCACATCTTCTAACCGCTTTCCCTCTTCATCGGCAGCCATGTCGTTCCGGGTACGCAGCAGCAAGTTCCGCCACGTCTATGGCCAGACGCTGAAGAAGGAGCAGTGCTATGACAACATCCGGGTATCCAAGTCATCCTGGGACTCAACCTTTTGTGCGGTCAATCCCAAGTTCGTGGCCATAATCGTTGAATGTGGCGGCGGCGGCGGCTTCATCGTCTTCCCATTAAAACAGGTGGGTTTTTTTGGGTTACCTACTTGCGCAGCTCTGTTGCGCAAGTAGGTAACTTAACGGCATTAGGCAAGATTCATCGGGTTGGTTGTGCTGGATAATACGGCAAGCGAAAGTCCGTTGTAACATAACCGAGCTTTAGGGTTCGCTCTAATCCTGCTCGTCGAGTGGTGAGTCTACCGTACTCTCCCCTCGATTGTTTTGTTCGGGCACCCCAGCACATTTGCCATTACTGGTTGAAGAATGTTTTGGCGTTGCGTGGCGAGCGTTACACGTCGCGTACCGCCATTAAATGTGCCTAAAGTAGCGTCGGTGATGTCGAAGTGGTGCCATCAATCCGTATAACACGTAACGCTATTTCTTTGCAAGAGGCCTTTTTATTCAGCTTGTTTTATTGTTTGTGTAATAGACTGCGCCCTGAAAGCAATCCCTGCGTAAAGGGATATTTTATTCGATACAAAGGCCAAAAAATCAATTTTAGAAGGTCGCCGTGCTTCACAGTGTCTTTTTTATTAAACGAAATGTTTCACGTTTGAAGGTATTGAAGCGAGCATCAGATATGATGAGATAAGTTCAGTTATAGCTATTGGTATACTTTTAAAAGAAAAAGACTGCTCTTGGCAACACAGTTTCACAGTGTAGTAAATACGCCCCTTAATAAGTCATTGTTTCATTACGTGGTCGTACCTCGCACAATGTTGATTGAGAGCCAATTTACGGCCGTCATATCTGAAAATCCTGCTCACAATCGCGAGATGAACAGCTGAACAATCACATTTGTATGGGCTTAGACCGCCGCATAGCTAATGGAACAGCAGGATTTGGACGTCGTTATTATCGCGTCATGGATACTTGGATAATCCGGAAAGAGTCATCTGGAAAAAGTCTGCATATCTCCGTGGCCGTGTAGCTCAGAATTAGGGCTTAGATCATCAGACGGCCAGGACTGTGAGCTGTACCGAAGGATCTTGAAAGTGGCTATTTCGGCTTGAAATGTCATACAAACATGGAACATTTCCTTTAACTACATATTTGAAATGATCGCAATTACAATAGAAGCAGAACAGGACCGTTCGACTTGGTTCCCACACTCATCCGTGCAGGAGCATCAATAGAGTTCAGCATTGCTGTCATGTCTACCAACCTTGTGCGTTGCAAGTGCTTGTAATTACTTTTTTGTTTGACAGTGACGAAAATTTGAGAGCTTTTTGTCTGATGTGGATGTGTATGGTGATGATATGCATTCCTGCGCATTGTGCCACGATCTGCAGCCGATCGTGACATTGATCAATGATAGTGGATTACATCAAACAATGAGACCAGCGCTAAGGGTTGCTTAGCCTCCGTACCAGCAACCTTTCTCTTCACCAACGCACTCAGCAGTTCTCAACGCGGCTACAGGTCCCGTCCATTTACATTGCAATTGATTGCGATCCACTGATTGCACTAGCTCCAGCCAAAATATGCCACCTGGCGTAAGGACCCGTGACGATGGAAGTCTGTAAGTCAAACTTACGGACTTTTTGGCCGGCGGCAAACTTCTCTTTACGATGTAAGCATATGACATCTGGTGTCAGGGCAAACAGACATCAGTTTCGAAAAGCCAGTCACGTAAGCTGTGTGGTGGCACGTTTCTTCTGTTAATTGCACGCTTAGACGGAAAATGTTTGAAAAGAAGGTCGACTCTCGGTTGCGTTAATGTGAGTGCCGCACCGTCCGGTCTCGGCGACGCAGTCAGCAGCGCGCCGCGGCCATAAGTGGGAGGTCTCGCGTTAATGCGCGGGTTGACCAGGACCTTTCTTCCAGTTCCCTATCGAATTTGCTGGGTTCTTAGCCGACACAGCCGATACGTGCTGCCAGTATGATACAGCATTGATCTCAATGGCGTTGTCTTACGAACATTCAAGACATGGCACCCGCTCATACTTGAAATGTATCCGCTAGCGAAACTTCTGCACCACGCTGCCGCCAATTAGGGGCTGCCAAATATTCCGGGGAAGGTAGAAGGCTGGTACCTACTCTACTTAGATTTCTAGCACAATGCTGAAATTTATATAGCAAGCTTCGTTCTACCAATCTTCTGTTTTCCTACATAAACCTTTCGCAAATCACGAAGTCATTCCCGTACTCCAACCCCATAGGCCAACGTATGAAACCAGTGCATAAAATTAAAGGATTGTGTCTTCCAGAAATGGTCGCCTGATTTACACGCGGTCTGGTGTGGGGGTCAATCTGACCCCTCCTCTCCCTGAAGATTTCCCAGAATGGTTTCCGAACAGCGTGGCGTAGCCGTACCAAACCTTGCACAGCTATAGGCAATTGCATAGTAGATTTTTTGGTTCACAACAATTAGATGTACCGTGTCAGATCGCTGACATACGGTTGGTGAGAAGTCAGACCTTTATTAGAAAAGCCTATTCATTTCTGCTATTGTTTTGATGAAGGCATGTTACCGAAATATCAACCCAACTATATCACCATTCTCTTGTTTTTCCCCGGGGAATAAGGCTATTGCTACCGTCTTATCTATGTGAATAATGCTCATCGCTAATGTATCGAGCAACTTACGTAAACATGTATTTTGCCCACCTTGGTGAAGTGATATTGTTGTTCAACTCAACTCACTCACCAACTTTTATGCCACCACGGTTTTCAGTAGTCCGCCATTTCTTTGTTGGGTACGGCATAGGCACGGCCTACCTGAGCGCCATCACCGCCCCAGGTACGCTGTGCCTGAACGTAGGCTTGGGCCGTACCCGCGGTTGTTCTGAGTTGCATCTCTGATCTTGATAACCAGCTATGCCCAATCCATCCGTGTATCAGGCTGTAGTGAGAATAAAGTCCTAGCATGTGACGTCACGAGGTCACTTAGTGTTGGAACGGTGCCTGCTGATCTTGATAGCCAGGTATGACTAATCCATCCGTGTAGCAGCCTATAGTGAGACTTAGGTCCTAACATGCGACGTCACGGGGTCATATAGCGTTGGAATGGCGTACCTGTAAGCGCTGATTCTAGGAAAATCACCTGCACCGCTGCATAATTTCCCGCCTTGATATCAAATCGTTTTATTTCGCGTTCTGGTGCCGTCACAGGGGAGCTTCTTTTGTGGACGGGGCGACTTTACCTGACATCTTATGATTGATCGAGTTGAGTGACGTCGCTGGTTCAGCATCCACAGTGTTTGTAAACGCTCAAGTATGATTTATATTCTGCTCCAGGTGAACCTAGCCGGCTGCATTATCTTGTAATAAAAAGACCACCAGATCCGTTGAATCGCTTTCGTCATCCCGTTCTCGCAACCGGTACCCTCAAGCGGAACTGCAACTTATACGCACAAACCAGCGCATATAAATCGAACCGCGCGCCGGATGCGAAATAGGCCCGTCCGGCAAGTGCGTTTTAAACACGGTTGTTCAGTTTCGCCGTGCCAAATTCATTGCTGGCCGGCGTGCTCCGGCGCACATTGTACCTCGTGTGCGTCACTGATGTCAGTGGTTTTGTCGCCTCACGCACTGCGCGGCCTGCGAGCTCGTGCGAGCTGGTGCCACTGCAGGCCGAGCGGCGTCCTCATCGCCTGAGCAGTGGCCAGCTCAATGACCTGTGTGTGCTCTTTGTTTGTGCGGCCATAGGCGACGGTGGCAGTCACAGGTAGGTGCACGCCGGCCTGGGCGCCGTGGCCGCCACGCCCCCACCTGTGTCGGCCCCCGCCCGTCCCCTCTCCCTCCCGCCGCCTACCCAGCCGGCGCCAGTCCAGCCCGCGGTGACTCACCGCTATTAATAGGCGCATGTGGCCGGCATCGTGTATAGATATGGCTGCCTGGGCCAACGGTAGGCGGCAGCCCACACGGCGCGCATCATGTGTCTATCAGTGAGCATGAGTAGCCCGCCCGCCGCCTCCCCGTCCTCCACCGGGCCACATCACCGAATATGGGCAGCGGCGCACGCGGCGGCGGCGACCTCGCCGGGTTGGACAGCCCTGCGTGGTGGCGGGGCGCGTGCGTCGGCGCCGCCCGGCCACCAGGGGCGCAGGGGTGTTCGACCTGTCGGCCAAGGTTAGGCGGCGCGGCTGGCAGCGGCGCCGTCGCGGACGTGGCGGGTCGATTTTTGCGGGCTGTCCCAGATCCGTCGCCGCCCGGTCACGTGTCAGCCGGGCGGTCCCACGCGCCGCCGGCCAGATAAGTCGGCGCCGCGGGCCGCCACTTTGACGGCACCATGGCCCTGTTGATGACGCGGCCCGTTATTTTCGGCATGTTGTCCCCGTGTTGCCCCCGCCACGTTCGCCGCAGCGATGACGGCATGAACGATCAGTGGCGTGGCGGTTTTCCAGCCCGCGGCCGTCGGGCGGCAACTTTCACCGCGCCCCGTCTGCGTCCGGGCGGCGGCGGCGCTCACCCGGGGTCACCGAGCCGCCGCCCGCTGACCCCCAGCCGGCTCCGGGGCAGCGGAGTCGCGCGCAGCCACGGCCGGGTGGCCGATGCCCCAGGCGGGCCGACGCCGGTCCGGCCAGCGGCGCGCCGCCTCCGGCACGGCCCATGTGTGGGCCATATGTGGGCTACGTCGGGGTCGCCGGGCCGTTGTCTTAGCGGCTGCGGTGCAAGGGAGGACAGACGCCTTGCCGCCGATGGCTGTTATCGGTCCGCCCTCTGCACGGTCGAGGCGAACTTGGCGGCACGATAGCCGCCCACGGTGGCACCCGGCGGCGACGTCCAGCTCCGCCGCCAGCGTCGAGGCGCGCTGGCGGTAGCAGCCGAGGCGGTGCGCGGCCGCTTTGAGGGGCGGGCGAGAGAGAATTCCGTGCTCCGGTCTTGACGACCGAACCTAACCGGAGCTGGGCTGAGCTAGCCACCAGGGAGTGAGAGCGAGAGTCGAGCATGGTCGTGATCGGTGTCATGATCGTCAGAGGCAGAGATGGAGGGAGGCAGAGAGAGATTCAAACGTGCGGAGCGCATCAGTAGGTAATAGGCATGCATGCGGAATGCAACTTCCCAGCCCGCCAGTTTCT